TGGTGAACCGCAACTTGAAGAAGACCATCCTTTAAAAGACGAAGACATCCCTACGAAAAGGCCTTTAGATTTCAGCTTATTGGGGCATGTTCTTTTGTGTTTTTCTTATGTTGTTTTGCTTTCAAATTATGACTATACTGTATAACATGTGCCATCCCAGGCAAAAAGCAAAAGGTGATGGGAATGGGAACGTTCCAAAAGAACCAAAAGCCAAAAGGATGCAGGGAATTGAACGAGGTGGGACCAGTTGTGTGTGCACTTGAGCCCGTGCTTGCCTGAACAACAATCCCAGTAGATCTTGCACTGCTGAATCTCTGTGTGTGTGGATGTTTGTAATATTTCTTTTGTATCAGGTTCTATCTTAGGGCTGTTCAAGAGAATGGTTTATATAATTCATTGCATGCAGGAGTTTCTACAGCATCCACTATTCCTGCTTCTTCACCAGCACTGGCGGTGCACAAGGCCAACATGAGGGCAGCAGCTGTGGCAGAAAGAAAAGCCTCGGGTCCACTAGAGACCCCACCGTGCAGAAGGAAAGCTGATTTGGGAGCTGGTGCTTCAGTTGATCAACCATCCCGTCCCAAGTTGCGCAGAGATGTTCAAAGTCGCGCCATCCTGGCAAAGGAGGAGCTGCTCCCTGAACGGCGGACAGCTTGCAAAGCCAAGGCAGCACCATCTACCAGGGGAGATGGTGAAGCTGCCAAAGCTGGGGAGGCCCAGGGCAAAGTGAAAAGGTCCAACACCTCAGATAGTGAGCGCGACAGGGCTGTGGGAGCATCTCTGCAGCGAGGATTGACAGCCCATCTTGACCAGACCAAGAAGATGGATCCTACGCAAGGTGGCAAAGAAAACAAAAAGCAATTCGAGCCTGAGGAGCAGGAGGAGGTGGAATCCCATCAGTCGGATGGAGAAGAAGACCCCCAAGGTGATGCAGAAGCCATTGAACTGGCTCGCATGAAGCGGGCCAACCACGCTCGCTTCATGCGGTTCAGCCGCAGCTTGAAGAGTGCCTTGGCGTCTAACACTTCAAACAATGGATTTGAAGTACTTGTGGGGCTTGCTGTGTCCTGGGTTGTTCATGTTTCATAATTTACTGAAATTATCTCTGCTAGGCCCGCACACGCCGCAAGTGATCAAAGATGCTGGGAAGCAATCTTTCAGGAGTCACTTGGCCATCCAATTCGTGTGGCTGTGATGTTCAGAGAATGGATCTTAATCGAACTATTTTCAAACTGTGTGGGGTCATTGATCATGTGCTTGTGCCCAGACTCACCACGTCTTCAAATTTTATTGGAGCAGTGGATCAGCTGCGCTGGAATTTGGAAGGAATCAGCCCTATACATTCGAATGTCCAGCAAGAAGGCTTTCAAGAAGAGAGGGTGTCGTGCCTGGCTAACCTTCCAGCAAATAGCTGAACGGTATGGCAGCGAAGATGTGGCTCGACAAATCACGGAGACGAAGCTGGGCGATGAAGAGGCTCGGCGATCTCAAGTACGTGAGCATCCAGACTGTCCAGCAACTGTGTTGCATTTGGCACTTGTATCTTTGCAATCGCTCAAACTTGGATGTTTTGATTTGAGCTGTATGGTATTCCTAGTAGTCTTCCTGTCAACTCGTCTCAACGAGGACGTGCTTCAGTTCTTGGTTTGGATTGAAGATTCAGAACAAGAAGAAGAAGACACCGTTGTTGAACAATTCTTTGAAGCAGTTGACAAAGACAATGACGATCGTGGCAGAGCTCGCAGCAGGTCCCGAGGTAGGTCCCGAGGCAAGTCCAACAAGCGCAAAGAAAAGAACAATAAGAAAAGCAAGAAGTAAGACCGAAGGAAGCGATCTCGTTCATCGACGTCCAAAAGTTCTACTTCATCCAGCTCCTGTTCCAACACAAGCAGCAAATCCTCCAGCAAGGTCTGCATTTTTTGGACACTGATTGAGATTAATCATACATGTTTGTTATGCCCTAGGCGCTTGGGATCTGTACTGTATCGAGTTGATAAATTTCATGGAGCCTATGACACACCCATCCCATGACGATCAATTCTTCACTTCCTCTGCGTTGCCAGATGAAGAAATCCAAGAAGGACAAATCCAAGAAGGGAAAGAAGGGAAAGTCTAGAAGCGCTTCTCCTTCACCTAAAGTTGAAACGGAAAAGGAGCGGGAGAAACGTCTGAAGAAGGAAGCAGCTGAAAAGCTTAAAGCAGCAGAGAAGGAAAAGAAGGAGGCCTTGAAAAAGGTCCTTACAAAGCCAAAGCAGGTGGAGTAATATGTATCGATATATCTTTATTGTAGCAACAATTGATTTCACCTGGACTTGTATGTTTCATGAGCTGTCCCAATTGCAGAGTTTCACAACATAAGCATCACGTCAGGTTTACACAAAACTGACCGCCATGATCCAGAAGGCCTTCACCATCCAGGGAAAGGCTGACTCCATGTTGTGGCCTTGGACAGTGTGGCAGGACGAACTTTTTTACTATGAACAGACTGTTTTATTGAACCTTTGGAAGAGCGAAGCTTGAACACTGGATCAACGTGGCTCAACACGACCAATTTGCCTGTTGAGGTCTGACTCTTTGCGAAAGATCTTCCTGGGAGAGTTGAAGCCTCATCAGAAAAAACTTGACCAACACCGTTCGAAGCTTCAAAAGGCCATGGACAATGCCAAGGTGCTTCATGGGCATATAATAAATATGATCTAAATACTGGGAAAGCTTGTGCCTTTTGTAGCACTCCCTTTCCAACATGTCTTCCCTGTAGGTGGATGAGGAGGAGAAATTGAACCAAATGGCCGACGATGCAAACCAAGTTGTGACTGACTTCAGCCAGTTCTTGACGGACAACAACATGAAGTGATGATCATGTGATGATCGATCGGTGTGAAGCGGTGGTGCACCGGGGAACCTTAGGTGTTGGCTCAGTGACCTGACCACTGGCTTTAGTGCGCCTAGGGATCGAGGTGTCATGGTGGGATAGGTATATACTACATATCAGGATGACCACATGGTGACAGCATGTGACAGCCATTGTCTAAAGGACCGTGCACCATGACCCTCAAGGGATTTCTGCCCACCTGCGGCATCGCTCCGACACTTCGAACTGGAAGCAAAGGTTGCATATTGCTTTGCTGCACATTGTGCGTTGATCTTGTGCACATGAACAGTTTCAGTTGTCATGTCCCTCCGACAACATAGTTTAGATCTAGTCTTTTCAACATTGATTCATGGTTTTTGGACAGGTGTTGAAAGAGAGGAATCTGCACCACTTGTTGTGCAGCAGCAACTGGAGCGTGTAAGTTCAGGTGCAACTTGGCAAGAACAATACGTCAAGGGATCAAACTATTTGTGGTTGAACTCCTGAAAGCCTGGTGGGTTTATCCATGCAAAACATTAGACTTGCTTGACTGTATGGAAGTTCTTTGTGACCCAATTCCTATCCCGCTAGTGCCGCCCTGAGGCAACCAGCGCTCATCAAGCAATGTCTTCGATCCGGGCACACGTGCAAGTACCTTGGCTTGTATCGATCGATGGATGGATTTATCGCCTGAGGGTGTATCAGCAAACCATAGTTAATCTAGACTTGGTACAAAACGCACAAGGACCTTATGCCTAGAGTAGGTCCGTAGGTTTGGGTGATGTCTCATTGCTTGCATCATTTATGCAAACAGACCTCCAACCCAGGAGTCTGGCAGTGGTTGTCATCAAGACTCTGTGGCACTGGGAGCAAAATCTGGATGGAATGATTCCAGAGATTTCTGGCACTTCGCTGACATTGGATTGGATCCTTTGCTGTGATGAAACCACTTTTCTTTGTTTGGCTTGTTCAAAGGGAATACATGGTTTTACTTGCGCTTTGATTCAACATGGTGTGAACATGTGTGAACAACTTGTCTCAAGAGCCCTATGAGCTTCAATCCTTTAATATAAGAAACCGTGGAGGAACAACATCATATTGCAGTTCCAATCCAGGATCCAAAGCGTCAAGGCCATGTGGTGTTGGAATCCCAGCCGATACTTTACCCTCACGAAGTCCTGGCTTTTCTTTTTGATCAGTGTGGATTGGTGATTCCGGCCACCGACGTGCGTGCCTTCTGGGACCACTCAAGGGCAATGAGTGAACCGTGGTCGTTGGAGACAACAGCGTCGAGGGACCACATTCCGTGTGGTCTCTACGGTGACGCCGCACGGCTTTCAACTGTGTACGCTGCAGAGAAGATAGTGGGAGTGTTCCTAAACCTCCCGCTTTTTCGACCAAAGTCTGTGCGGTCTTCACGGTGGCTTTTGTGGAGTTGCAGTGCCTTTAAGCTGTATTCCAACAGGACATTCAACAAAGTGTTCCGAGTTCTTTGCTGGTCTTTAAATTTTGCATTCTCAGGCATCTACCCTACACACAACTTAAAGGGGGAGCCACTTGGTTCGCCACAGGCTGGAAAGGCCCTGACTCGGGGCAACCATTGTTTCGCGGTAACAGAGCTCCGCGGTGACTGGGAGTGGCGCAAAATGATTTGGCGCTTCAAGAATTGCAATTGGAAAGCAAAAGCCCCGTGTTTCCGATGTCCTTGTCTTGCGTCATCCCCAGACAACCCGGGCATGCTTTACCATACAGTGGATGAAAGTGCTGCCTCTTAACTTGTTCTGAGCAATTTGTCGTTCCTTATAATGTTATTTCAATAAAGGAACAGGTGGCTTTGGGTGTCCGAACTTGTGCACTTGTGCAGTACTGGTTGCACTGTGACAGTGCTTTCAATGGGCCAACCAAGGAGTGGCTAGACCAAGAATTTAGCAAGGACCAGTTCATTTCCTACAGATTGAAGGACAAGAACCTCTGCAACTTGCTAGCACAAGGGTGCTCACCGATTGGGCTTTGAATGTTGACTATATGGTGAGTGAGTGCACACACATGAGCATTGTGCCTCATAAAATTTGTCCATCCAAAAGCAATCAAGTGAGGCCCTCTGGTGATGCTCAAAGGATTTCACCCTGGACTTCTCAAGGTGTGCACTATGCACACCTTAAATTTGGGGCTACTATTTGCATCGAACGGATCGTCACTGATTCCATGGCTAGATTTTGAATGTGTGTTTTGTGTATTTTCCTTCATGCCCACTCGCAAACCCACCCTTCGTGCAGTTGAGGTACCTCAAAATCAGCCAAGAAGCCACATTGGACATTGACATGCATTGTGTGTCCAGAGTCTTTTGGGGGTTACCTCTATGGCTAATGCAATTCAATACGCTGGACACACAATCCATGTCAAGCACTATGGTGCAGGGTCCTGCAAAGCAAATCTCGGTCATTTCAGCTGAGGAAAATGCTCTGCCAGGAACTTCTGTGGTGGGGGCCGGGAGATTTTCAATCGCAGCTTGATTCAGCCTATGGAGCCTTCAAAGCATACTGCCGTGCTCGCAAGATTGCGCACAGCCAGCCGGCTTTCACAGTGAAGCTAGACCCTTGACCTGTAAGTATCAAATGATCATCGAAATGTTTGTTTTTAATGGCGTACAAGACTATACAAGACTATCTTGATTTGTCTGGGAATCCTGATCGGCTAGGTGGAGAAAAAGAGCAAAGAGGTGCTGATGACCTGCAAGGCTTTCAACGGAAGACTTGTTCTTTCGTGGTTGGCATTTGAACTACAAACTGCAGCTGGTCAACCTCGCTTTGCTGACAACGAGCGCCTCACATGTGCCTCTGTGGCAATGACCCTTGGCTTTTATATGTTTCACACTGCCGGACACTCTTAGTAGCGCTGGTCCTGTGCAATCTCTGAGGACTTCAATGGCAAGGTTCATGTGGCTCTCTGAGCGCCATGGCCGCTTCTTGCTACTGGGCTGAAGACATGTTTGGGAACGTGGTTGGGACAGGAGGTGGGGCATCATGTGCCCACAACATATTGTTAGGGAAATTGGGTTGCACATGGTGCACGATTCGATGTAACCCCTTCCAGAAGTTGGAGTTGGTGGAGCATGTACGTGTCTATACCTTGCTTGACCGCTTGATGGGATTTATCCTTCTGCTCCTTGACAACAAAAAGACGATCTAGTCTGATTTGGGCATGGAATATTAGTGAATGACAAATATCTATTTTCCAGCCATGGATGTGAATAAATCTCCGAGGCCACAAAATGTGGCATCAGAGATGTTCTTGGAGGGGATGCGCTACCTGGAAATGTACAAAGTGCTCCAGGTCCTGTCGGTGAGGACTGTTGTTGTGCACTTTGGACATGTGCACCTTTGAGTTGCACAGTTGCACCGATCATGCGTCCGTTCAACCCAAAAATACAGTGCTAGGATGGGACTACATGAATGGCTCATGAAGCCGAAACACCACGTACTGTGCCTGCATTTAATTTTCTTTTGAACCTTACTCCTGCAACTTCAATTGACCTAATCTGAACTTGCTTGACTGACCTTTGAAGAGAGTGGGTTCAATTACACTTGTAAAATACAAACGCTATGCTTGGCAAGAATTTGGAAGGGTATGTTGCCCTTTGTTCGAGCCAGTCCTTGCTTCGCTTTGCTGGCGGCAACTACGATGTTCGCGCACGTCTTACATGACATAAAGCGGTACAGTTTCTTGGCTTGAGGGATGTGTTCTGTTGGCCGCTTGGAGGGTTGGGGCCAAACCAACTTGACTTACTTCTCAGTAGCTGCGATTGCAGCATGGGTTTGCTGCCTTTGTCATTATTGAGACCAAAGGAAGGATCCGTAATCATTTTGCTTGCATCTTAACCTGTTACCTTGGATAGGGACTAATAAGTACTAGTGCAAAAAGGTTCCCAGAACAAGAAAACAATGATTTTGCGTTCTGGTGCACGATGGCAATGTAACTGATTAATATGCTTTCTTAATTGGCGCTTTATCTGTTGAAGAGTTGGAATCCAAAGAAATGGATATTGAGATGCTGGGGCATGCACATCTGTCCTAAGGATGCAACAGTAGATTCACCCATTGCTTCATCGACGAAGACGCCATGAAGTGGTTGAAGGGAACTTTGGCTGCCTTGTTTGTTGTTGCTATTTGTCAGCGCACTTGTACGCTTGCTGCCTTCTAACCGGCCCTAGGAGTTGCAAATGCATCCAACTTCAAGAACCGCTCTCGATGGGTGCTTCGGTGCACTAAACTGCGCTTGAAGGGCATGAAACATCGAATGTCCTTGCCCCTTGCCTTCACTATCCTTTGTTGCATTACAGTGCACATCCTTGGGTGCTTCATGTGCGCACATGAGTGTTTTGTGGTGCGAGCTATTGATGACCATAGTACAATTTACTCTGGTTCAAGAATCTTTCTTCGTGCGCTCAGGCTGATGCGCAGTTCCAGGTTGCGTCAATGATGCTCCCGAAGGGACATGTGAAAAGAGCGTTGGGGGGGGGTTGGAAACGACAAAGCGTGAAATGTCTGTTGTGACAACGGCTATTGTTTTAATGTCTGTTAGACTTGTAGGGTATAGATATAGGTTATAGATAGACAGAAAAAGTCTTAAAAGTCCTCCCTCACACACACTCCGGTGACATCTTCACTTTTAGATGAACAGTGTTCACATCTGGTTCACCGTTCCTCTTCCCCTTTGTACAGGTTTCCTTTGGCTCAACCTCTCCAGCGCCCACTGCGCTCGCACCCCGCCGCGCGCACCGGCGCCCGCAAAGGCCTCGAAAGCTCTGCGGCCTCGCTGCTGGACCTCTTCCGCGAGCGTGTGGACTACACCGTCGAGGCTCCGGCCCGATGCGCGGTCGCGCTACAGCGATGCGACACGAAGAGCGGGAGGAAAGTGAAAGTGTTTTTGGTGCGCAATTATTTTGGTATGGAAAGTGCGTTTCTTCTTAGGAATTTAAATTGTTCGATGTGTGTTGGCCTGTGTGGCGACCATCGTGTCACCAATCCTGCTGGCACTGCACATGTTTGGGTTTCCATGACATGTGAGTACAATAAGGTGCACCGTGAAAGTGATTTCTGCAGAACGTGCGCTCCGCTCTACTCGTCAACTTGAAAACGTCCAACTGAAAGTAGAATGAATCCAGACACTCTGTGTCTGGAATTTGTATATATATATATTAGATATTTTTAAGTTTTTGAAACACTTCACCTACCTTGGGGTGGCTAAAAAAGAGGCGAACCTAGGTCAAGATGCCAGTTCCCACTGGGGGTCTCCGCGTCATTCCGTTGCACGGGCCGTTCGCACGTCTCGTCGAAGCACCGAGGCGTCGGCGGAACGGACCAGCGCCTCGCCGCTGCGGGGCGACCTGCGACAGTTGGCCGAGCACGTGGCCGGGTACCTGGACAACGACGGAAAGAAGGTCCCAAACCGGTGAAGGGGGCGGGGCATGAAGCGGATGGATGGGGGTGGATGGATGCTGCCCGGAACGCAAAGAAGGGTTATTAAGTATATGTGGGATGCTTCGGACCGTTTCACGGGTCTGATCGGGTCTTGGAATGAAAGTCTGGCAGGGTGAAGGTGGGCACGTTCTCCTTTTGTTTTGGTGAAAGTCTGGGCGCTGCTCCCGGAGGTGGTTGCAAAGAAAGGACGACGAATCCCATGGAGATGTGGGAAATCACGTGAAGTCACTGAATCCAGAGCTTCGAAACATGAGAACACCTGAGAAACCATGTGAAACCATGTATCAACATCATTATAGAACCCCCTAAGTTGAGCCCTACCAGGGCCCCCGTGTCTGGGGTGTCCAATTATAGTTCCTTTGGGTTAAGGGATGTCCATTAACCACCCATTAGAGGGCCCTGGTATATGTTGATCTGTTTTTATTCTGCCAGGCCGTCAATGCCATCATCTCTGGCACCGTGGACGATGTGCTGGCGCAGCATGGCGATGAGGCTGGGTATAGTTGCATATCATTTACCCTATCCAATGACCCCAATGGGATGGTATTTTACCCTCCAGTCCCATGGGTGGTTTGGGATCAGTCCCACCCACCAACGGTAGCGGTACCTGGAACGCAGGGTTCACCAGATGTGTTTGGATGAAGATGGACTTTCGTGTCTGGCAAGATGATAAGATGCGTTCTCAGGTTGACTTGATTCTGAGTTCCAAAAGACCTGCAGTGATCGATATGTAGACTTTCAACACAGTTTACACGTATCCCCAAGAATTGAGTCATATGCCCTCCAACATGAAACCACATGAAGTCATTTTGTTAGGTGTTGCTACAAGAGACTGGTGGTTCAGATGGTTCATGTTGTTTGGTTAGGAGGTTCATAACCCCCCACACATATAAAACCCACATTTGACCATGCCATGATTAAAGAGAGGGACATGTTTCGACCTTGATACCTGCTGAGTCGACCACACCTGGAGAGCAGTGAAGCAGCGGTTGGGGACCGAGGGCGCGCATTCGAATAGGAGGAGTCGCTCTTTGCCGAGATGGAACAAGAGCATGAACAGGCCATAATGGGTCGATCTGGGCAACACTTCGATGCCACACTTCGATGAGTTGGACAGGTTCTTCACCTGTCCTCATGTTTTTGTCAAGTCAGAAATCCTCGAGAATGTGTTGGGTCATCGCTTTTTGACGCTGAAGATCCCACTGAAGTTTCGGAGACCTATGGACTTCAAAAGTTCTGGAAAATAATTGGCTCGGATGAACAAAAGGACCTGTTCTCTAAAAGACTTTAGGAACGGGGAATGTTTCCAAGAGATGGCAGTGGTTGGCTACACATCTGCCCTGTTCCTCCCATTGATTGACCATTTTATATATTTGCCTTGGATGGTTTGAATCATTTTCCCTTGCAAACAGCGCACGAATCTTGAAGAAGGGAATTGGTTTAACACATGGGCCATTCAATTGATTGCAAACCTTTCTTTGCAGCAACCTGTGACAAAAAGATAGTAATTTTTCCGATGAGGCGGTGTCAGATGAGCCAGAGTTTTTCATTGTCAAGAGACAGAGACTTGGAACAACCCGCACTCATTTATATAATTAATTCATGCGGATTAGTATCTCAATAGGGAGGATGGGTTCTGTTTTTTCCAGGAGGTATGCCTATCTGAGCTACACACCCTTCTTCCAACTCCCCGTTCGAATCGTGGTCTGTCCAGCTCTGCCAGGAGCTGTTTGCCGAGCAGGAGGAAGAGAAGGAGCATCCTTGGAGCAGAAAACTCGTTTGTGGGGTAGTGCACTGAAAGGGCCAACCGGAAAAATGTCACATGCACATGACTTATATAGACGGATACCGTACCTAGAAAGACTTTCAACAAAAGACAACTGGTCGTGTTCGGATCATGTGGGTGGGTGGGTGGGTTGTCTAACTATAGTGAAAATTTTCGTTGGAATCGATCTGATGCCTCTTTTGGAGGGTCCTGCTGAGTTGCATTGACTGGAGATTTAAACTTAACCCCTTCTCTCAGGCTCCTTGAGAGGTATGTTGATTTCTGGAGCTTCATAGTCTTCATAGCATCCACACAGGTTCTATACAGATATGACCAGAATGAACCGACTGACACAAGGTCCTGCACTCCACGTTCGTTTAACGACTGGCTGGCTCCCGTCTGGCATGATGGTCACGGCCTCGCACTGGTGGCGGCAGGAGCAGGAAGAGGAGGAAGAGGAGGAAGAAGAAGCTGGGGACAATGCCACGTTCGGACCGCTCAGACCACCTTAGGCTCGGCAAGCCGAGCTGGGCTAAGGCAAGAGTACAGCCTGAGATGTGAGACGCTTTAGAGGATTTGTATACAGATCTCAGAAATCTGTAAACGGACGGTGTTTCTGTCAAGGAGTCGATCGGGCTCCAAGGGGGTCCGGTCTGTGTTGCTTTTCAGAGAGGAGGTTTTCAGACATGACTTCAGCAGAACATGATTGTAGACATGGTTTCAGCCAAGGTTTTCAGACATGACTTTCCATGATGTTTTGAAGTGAATTGGTTGGGGCACATGAATTGTTGATCATGTTACTGTAGTGTTTCCTTTATTGACATATCTCAAGAACAATCTTTGCTTGGGGGTGTCCAGTCCAATTCTCACGCCCCTGCTTGGCCCCACCGCCCTGCCTTGGTTGACATAGCCATAGACTATAGATGACTATAGCCTTGGCCCATATAGCCACCGCTGTAGAATTTGGGTGATCCCATGGTGGTTTCTGACGTATCCTGGAGCAGAGTTACAGATCCCAGAAGGTCCCTGGGAACTGAGTGGCACTGAGTGGTCCCTTCTTTGGAAAAAGCTTCCAAACGACACGTCGACGTATTTGACAGGATATGTTGAAGGAAACGGGGCCATCGGCCCAGCAAGCACAGAAAGCAACAAGCAGGCCCATGCCTCCAACATAGGGGGTTAGGGGCCCGGAACTGTGCAGGTTTGTGAATTGTAAAATGCTTAATATAGAGTGATTTTTGACATGTGTTTTCACAAAGAGGTGTTCACTGACCAACAACCCCAAGAGATTCCCCCCTGATCGCCGGAGATAACTTGCTCCATTGCTCACACGATCGAAGCACACATCGTCCACCTTTCTAACATCTTCCACCCCCCATGATCGAAGCTGAAATGACATGTCAGAAAGTCTGAGAAAGTCTGAAAAGCACCAGAGTCGTAACCCCCCGAAACCACGAGCCTCGATCGGACGTCTCCGAGCGTCCTCGGACTCTGAGCGTCCTCGAACTTTGGTCGACGCATGTGCTGAGGCCCAGCGCCAGTCGGAGGGCTCAGGTGGTCGTGACGTCGTGTGTTGCCTGGACCTGCAGCGAAGGGGAGCGGACGCGACTGGGCAAGTCACTGAAGACCTGGAGACCTGGCTCATTCCTTGGCTGAGCTGTTCGGATCTCCAGTTCAAAAGTTAACCCAAATGTGATGAGTCATATTGTGAGATAGTTGGATGGGTCTCCTACAGGTCCTACAGCCAATTATGCAGGGACCCCGTCCGGATGACGACACCATGTGGGACACGGGAACGCCGGGATGGGCTGCGAAGGGCGCCCCGCGACGCGTCGGAATCCCGTCGTGGCCCCCCAGGCAGTTGGCAAAAACTGCCACGTCCAGAGCCACAAAGCTCCTGGCCCTTGGACCTCTTGCGCTGCTCGGCGGGAGCGTGTCGACGGGTCTGAGACGCTTGGAAGGAGGTGCACCCTACCAGAAGCCTTGTGCGAATTGGCTGTGGAGGGCCTGAAGAGTTGGTGATGGAAGTGCTGCTGTGGTATTGAATGTCCCAACAACTGCTTGAACGCCCAGTGCGGCTCCCGCGGGGGGCAACCCATGTTCATGGGCCCTGTTGTTGGGAGTCAGCCAATATAGCACAGGCACCCATTTCACAAAGCATTCCTTCTCAAGTCAGCTCGGAATTTCAGACACGACTCTAGACTTGCAGAAGAGCTCAACACAAAACTGTTTGCCCGTCCTTTCCATGAGGGGGGCTTTCCCAGTTTTTTTTTTTTTTTTCAGGGGGTCTCAAGTGGTGTTCTTTTGGTCAAAAACTCAAGCGCGCTTTCGGTTTGTGACTCGACCATTTTGCCAGTTGAACTGGGAAACTGGATGCTCAGTGACCAGGTCTCCCACCAAATTCATCAGTTGAGAGGTTTTTTGGGATCTGCTCTGGGACCCCCCAAAAGTGGTATACATATATATATATATCATCTAATTAGTGGGCTCCTCTCGCCTCAGCCAAATGCTTTTCACGCAGGTGACAGGTGGCACATCAAACAGATATGATAGGTAAAAACAAACTCCGCTCAGAGCTCTGCGGAAGCCCCCCCCGCCGCTTCGCTTCGGGAAGCCTCCCGAGGGAAGCCGCCCAGCTACAGCGACCTGGGTGGTCGAGGGCGACACTTTCGACCGGCGAAGGCCGGTCCGCAGGTTGCGGTGCAGACCGCATTGGCAGAGCCGGTGTGCCCGTAAAGGAAGTCATTGGAAGCCTGTGGATGGGAAAGAGAAGAAAACATGTTTGGGCTCTAAAAAGGAAGGGGCCACTCAGGTAGATTGATGTAAGGGGCCTGTGGCTGGTCCACGCCTCCAGGCTTGAGAGGGGTTGCAGGAAACTGTTCAACATGTCATGGGTTGAAGAGCTTCCAGTTGGGCCTCAACCTGTTTGGTCATCATTTACAGTTCTTCTGACATATCCTGGATACCACATGTTCAGAGATTGAATCCTGTCTGCGCAAGGCAAGAGTCATGGCGCGAGGAATGTTTTCCCTATGCCACAGACAGGCACTGATCAGCTGTAGGAGTTGAATTCTGTAAGCTATAACCTAAGAAAGCTTGTTTTTAATTGTTTTAAAGCAGGCTCACTGAATCTCACTGATCTAAATTCATATAAATAATCTACACTCCCTAGAACTAACATGGAAGTGGAGAATGGCCCCTTGGAAGACCATTTTCCACTACAAAACAGGTTGTTTTCCACTTCCATGTCAGTTCCAGGGAGAGTAAATGCCCAAATGATTCAACTCTGGGCACCTTAGGCCCAGCCGACCAGTGACCCGTGATGGCATGGTCCCGAAAGGAAGACGACTGTCCTTTACAATGCAGGGGGGGGCCCCAACTCCACTTCCATGTGAGATGTCTTCGTTTTTGGCGTGTAAAACCACGTACCCATTTACATCATCCATGGAAAACTACGTACATGTTCGTCTTTTCAGGAAGTGAACATCGAACGTGAACCGGGTCCGCACCCCTCCAGGCGATGGCCCTGGGATCCAGCCGTGGACTTGAGACGGTGCGGCTCTCGGCGAAGAAGCCCCGGGGGGGGGGTTCCCGACGAGGTTCGGACGCTATTGTTGTTGTTGGTGTGAGTATGTGTGAGTCTTCTCTTTTTTAACGAACCAGAAGAATGTAGCATATAGATCGAAGTCTGCTTTGTCCTTTTTGCTTTATTCTAGAATGTGATAGATCATATTCTTTGGTGGCTTGGGTTTGGGTTCTGTGCTGGATTGGGTTTGGGAGAAGAAGACTCGACATCAATCAGGGTACTGGAAGCCAGAACCTTTTCGCTCACACACGCATCAATGATCCTACCTTCATTGGCGCATCAAATCCGGTGGTCCATCATCTTCCTGCAGTGTTTTCAATTGATTGCGTCACTCCGATGGATAGCAGAGGCTCCTTTCCAGCAGAGGCTTCGCACGGATCGTCCCTTTTTGAGCTTGGGCACGTGGCCGCCTCTTCTCCACAAGCACTAAGCCAGGCCAATTTTCCTCCGAAGCAGGGGTGCTAAGTGGTGGCAGGAGTGGTGTTTTTTCCTGACTTGGTGGTGCGATTCAGGGTAGGCTGCAATTTCTGTGTTTTCTTCAGAGGAAAAGACTTGACACATGGTGAAACATGTGAAACTGTATTGGTTATAGTTTCAACAGCATTGTTTTTTTAGACTTTGCCTACCTTACATCAGATGCACGTATATAATATATATACCTGGGTTGGCTTTGGTATGCCGTGGTGTGTGCCTTTCTTCACTGTTCAAAGGTCTGAACCGCAGCGACTGCCAACTGACCTGCGTTTTGCCGTTTGTCTCCGTTTGTTGTTCGTTGCGATGCCAAGCAACGAGAGAGGAACTTGTGAACCTGGCATGCTGTGACAACCAAGAACCAAAGTTCCAGAAACGCCAATCAAAGCTTCAGGTCATTCGAACTCTTGGCTCGAACGAGCCTGGGTCGCTTGTGTCTTGGTTGGCTCAGCAAGAACCATCCCCCCACCGACCTCGGTGACCACCTGCGCACCGCGTCCGCGAACACCGAGGCTTTGGGCCTCGCAGAACTTCCACCGGGGCGAAGAGGTGCAGCGGCTGCGAGCACCGGTGGCGGTGCTCGAGTGGACTCCACAGGCGGGAGGGGAGGGAGGAGGGTCCGGGGGGGTTGGTTGGTGTTTGGGAGAAGAGAACGGTACAAAAGTAGACTACTGATGAAGAACATTCTAGAACACCCTATGAAGAGGTGTCACCATCCACGTTCTGGGAGGGTGTTAGCAATCTGGAATAACTCATATATGTTTTTCATTGGAACTTCATACAAATCCTGAGGAACTCTTCGCACTTTGGTTTTCTCCCTGAGAAAACCCTGTAAAGCTAGATGATTCTTGATGTGGTTTGACGGTTGGTCTTTGGGCACGATGTCGGTATTGGGAGGCGGTGTTTTTTATTGTATGCCATATTTTTGGATGCGGGCATGGTATGTCAATCAAAGATGTCTTTCTCGTTATCCTGCTAGTGATATAGGATGATAAAAGGGCAAGCATTGCAGCTGCAAATCAATCTACATAGTCAAGGACATGTCAGAAACTCCAGGACTCTTCAGCACAGCCGAGTGTGAGATCCCTGCGCTTGTTTCCATGTGCACTGTAGGACCTATTGGTGCCCATCTCATGAATATCTCCTTCACAATTCCCTGGCTTGTGGAATGCAACCAGTCCATTCCTTTGAGATAAGTAGAGCGAGAAGCAGGTCAGTCGCTCTCAGGGTCTTCGTTCGCCCCCTTTCTGTTGGGTGCTTGCAAAGGACCTCCCCAAGGTATCAGGCATATGATTCGATATAGACCGAAGGTCTGGGGCCACGAGACAGAGGTCCGGAACGGGTCAGCCTTCGGCCCGTTTCAGGAAGACGTGTCCGGGCCTCAAGAGCTGCAACCCGGAGCCCGAGATGCGCTATTGGAGCAACATGGACACCCTCAATTGTGATCCTGTAGAAGCAGTAGATAGCAGATGGTTCCTTTTGTAGGACCTGGTCCATTGCTTCCCGAGACGACCATCAAACGAGAAAACCAGGTTTGGCTGAGACAGGTCTGTGGAAAGAACTGATCAAGAAGAACAAGCTGACGTTGAAACAAAATCGCCTGTGCTCCATCGCCATCTAGGTCAATGGAAACAGACCAGAAAATCCTCCCACCAGACCGGTTCGCTTTTCTTTTGGAAGCAAGATATGGCTGTGGGTCAAAACATTAGGCTCCATCCCCATATATAATGGTTGGAGATGGTTTGAGGTCCATGAGGTGTGAGTGATAGGGCCCAGTGGTGCTAGCACTCCAGAAAGACCGATAGCGCGGTGCATGCAGCCGTTCGAATTCATGCAATACATGTTCAGAGATGGATCCGATGTCAGGGACTCCAATGAATCTGTCCCAGATATGTTGAGCAAAAATCTGTCCCAGATGCAAAGTGTCTAGCTCTGCATTCACCATGTAGCTGAGAAACTCAACCAACCAACTAGGATGACAATGCCTCCACTTCAGTAGGACACCATTCAAGTCGACAAAACACAGGCTGCCAAACTCCTCTCCATCCAGCATTTTCCCAGAACCCGAATTCATGTTTCTACATCATGTACCTTCCCTCCAACAAACATGGAAATGGATCATGGCCTCTTGGAAGACTGTTTTCCTCGGTGGTTGTCCACTTCCATGATTGTTTCAGGGAGGGTACATATGCCCATATATAGCTATACTTTCCCTATAATAGTCAATGACCTCATTTGACCGAAGTTGGTGATACCAACACCCCACTCAAGCAGGTCAAGGACCTGGTTTGACTCGGTCAGACTGGACGAAGGTAGGGTTTCGACGTCCAACCAAAGGCCCGACCGCTGGAGCTACTTGGCTGTGAGGGTGGTTGGGGCGAAGGGTGAAAGAGTTGGGACCCAAACAAAGGCAGCAGGGGCCAGGGATGTTTGTGAGAAAAGCTCCGTGAGAAATCCTATTTTTGTTGTTGGTTTTCAACCCCCAAGCAGCAGAGTTCGCACAATAACGATACATTGAAAACAAGAGCTCCAGCCCGGCATTGGAGGTCGACTTTGGTGGACCAAGGCCATTGATCAAGGCTCAGGGTGGTTCTAAAAAAAGAACTGAGTTGGCTAAAGGTTTCTTGAAAAAAACGTGGGGAAGCCAGGGCCTTCGAAAGCAGTGAATGCCAAACAGCCAGGTAAACTACATCACCGCCCTTAAGAATCTACCAATTCCGAGATGATTCTGATGGGCTGACATTCAGACATATTCAGACATTCATGATCCCTCTAAAAAGGACCTGCAGTTCTGGGAGCTTGATCGTGACATGTATGTGTCCAGAGTCCAAATTGATCAAATTGCAAGACTTACCAAGACCCTAGGGAAGAACGTCTTCTTACGTGGTTTAGCAGGTGGGGGTGGGGTCAGACTGCTTGCGGACGCATGATGGTTTTGTGTTCTGGACATACATCATGACATATCATGAAAACCTGTTTGAGGGGATGGAAAACAGATGAGCACTATGGAAGACATTGAAGAGTGTCAAGACATTGAAAGTCGAATCCAGTCGTGACCTACCAGGAGCCCCTGGAGCCCGAATCTAGCTTGACCGTGAATGGGGTCGGTCAACCGGTTGGTCTGGCTCACCTTCCATTTAGGGGCACTGCATCAACCCGATCTTTGCTGGCACAGGGGTCGGGGGAATGAAATACCCCTACTGAGCAGTTTGACAAGCAATGATGGACTTGACCTCTATGGACTCTTTAAAAAAGAGAATGATTCCTTTCCAAAACAACACATGGAGAGCTGACCGTCTGAGCAAGTCACCCCGCCCGATAGCGGACCCGAACCGCTTCGCCGCACGGGGCGCGGCGGGCACCGGTCGATCCGCGCAGCTGGACTTCTGCAGGCGTGTCTCCGCAGAAGAGTCGCTGGGGCGGCAAGCGAATCCCCGCGACGTCGGGCGACCGCGGGCGACGGAACGTACCGCGAAAAGCTCATTCCTGTGTCCACCCAACTACTGATTGTAGTGAAGGGAGGAACGGGTGAGAACGCCTCATTTCCCGCCCAGCTATAGCGGGCAAGAACGCCTACACAAAAACAAACTTATACAAAATCAATGAATCAACGCATAGAAACACTAAACAACATGCAAGTGCAGCATCAAGTGAATTCCTGAGGCATACAAATAATGTTCATCACTGGACATTCCTGGAATCAGCGGTGGGTGGATCCGTGTTGCCACCAAAAGCACAAGAACGCCAAGAGGGGACAAGAACGCCTATAGGTGGCAAGAACGCCCAAGCGCGGAGCAAGGTGCCTGTACCGGACCTTTACCCACAATAGGCAGAACTTGTTGCTCCTAAGAAGTTCTAAAGCTATAGGCTGGGCCAAGGCATAAGCTCAAGAGACACCCCCCCGGACCCGACCACCCCACTGGTCGATCGTTGGGCGTCGGGCGAGTGCTGAACGTGGTCCAACCAGATGCCATAAGGTTCCCTCTGGGACCGGAGGTGTTGATGTTGCAAACACATGCGTTCACAAAAAACAAGAACGAAGTGGAACGAAGGTCGGTTTCAGTGATCCAAGTGGTGTGTTGGCACTCTGTGACGCGTGTTTGTAGTTTTCTCGGTGAAAGCTTGGATATTTGAGTTGCTTGGAGGTCCTAATTGGGCTGGCTTGGAGGTCCATGACTGCTTCATGGCTCGGGTGATGCTACCACATGCTGCTGCATGCCATGGTGACGCCATTGTCTACATCATATCTCGCACAGAGTGGCAGTAAGAAAGTATGGAACCAATCAGATTGCAACAGGCTGTTCTGCCTTGGTTAAAACCTTTGTACCATAGAGATCCATAGAGACATATATAGAGAATAATTACATGGGTCGTCCTGACATCTATGTTCTAGTTTAGGTGCCTTTGTGGGCAGGACCTTTTTGCAGGGCTCGCCCACACGTGGGCTTCGTCCCACTCAAGTTGCACATACTCTCGGGGTCGCCTGAGAGTCCCTGAGATCAGGGTGTGTAGTTGGAAGCACCAGGAAGCAGGTTGAAAGCCCCTTGGAAGAAGGAGAAGGAGAAGTAGGACTACGTAAGTGGGAGGATAGACCATCTATCTTTCCACTTAGTCCTGATAGAGTCTACCAAGAGCCACCAAGGGTCTCCCTGTTCGAAGTGATTACACCCAATATATTATTCCCGTATAGATTAGATTGGCCAGTCCGACCAGTCATACAATTCTAAGACATTCGACGCTTATACACAGTACCAGTAGCCCAGACAATCCATGTATGGGATATTTATCCATGTATGGTGTATGGATGAATGGTTCAGAAGGGGTCAATGAATGTAAATATGCCAGTCCCATTCATTTCGTCTTGGCAAGAGATCATCTTAGGAGTTTGCAAAGTAGATCTGCTCAACTCGTTGTCAGCTGTGCAGCACCTCTCGGTCGTCCTGGTCAAAAAGCAAGTCCAGGCTCAGTGAATCTTGGACACCTGGAAGGAATTGGTAGTAGTAGAACCTTTAGTAGTGCAAGAGTTCTACCATCAACAGGAATACGATTGTGTTTAGAGGTGTCACGACAAACTGGATGGTAAACGACAAACCAAACGCACTCGAGCAAACCACATGTCGCATTTGTTTGCAAGGTTGCCGTTTTCTGGAGGATTGCCCAGGCTGCGCACACTTTGGGACGATAGCCTCCACGGAAGTGTTGGGGTGTTGGCAGCCCCCTGTCCATACAGGCTTTCTCTATCAAGGCACGTGATCGGCGCGCTAGTCACCTGGCAGAGCCGATAGATGCAAAGGTGGAGGGTATACATGTGCTGTGCAACTTGTGGCCTTTGCCTTTAGTTTCAAGTGCTCGACGCTATGCGTGCCCATGGGGATTGGGGACCCGCATCGGCTAAGTGCTGTCTCAGGCGGTGAGACTTCTCCATCACACCAGCGCACACGATTGCACACCGCCCGGGAACCTTGTGAACAGCCTTCGCGAATGTGTTCACGATGTTTGCAAATGGTTGCGTTCCAAGCAACTGTGTTGAAAAATCCTGTTGGTACCCTTAGTGTAGTGGGTCTCATACGGGTTTTGCACCAAGCAGTAAAAAATCAAGGGAACATCTGCACATGTTTGTCAATTGGCGAGTGAAAACTCGAGATTCTGAATGAACCTAAATGAATTTCAAGAACGATCCGATTATATTTCAACTAGTTTTGATTGCGGGGAGGTGCTATTTGCAAACCCTATAGCACGTTTGCGTGGGTTAAATCTGATTGGTTTGAAAAAACATTGTTCCACGTGTTCTTTCAAACCACCGTCGATGTTCAAGTCTTGCTGCCCAGCCCCTAAGTTCCAAAGTGTCTGAATTATACTGAGTCGAAAGAATCTGTGTTGGTGAACTATTTCATGTCAGTGATCGTGTTAAACATATATCCCTAGCTGTGCCTTGGTGCCTTTAAACGTTCAACATGTTTAAACACAACCTAAGCACCATGAAAATTCGCGAATTGTCCAACCAACTTGAGGCCCTGGAGCTTCATGGGTTGGTTGGAAAGGCAGGTGGGAATCTTTGTCAAACTGGAAGAGTGATTGGCTTCGGAAACTGTGTTGAATCGTTGTTCGGTCGTTGGTGCAGTATTTGCACAACGAACTCTGGGTGCAGGTTTTTGAGGCCAGGGGCATGTTTGCAGTCCAGGAACTGTTTACACAAGGTCACTGTGTGGTTCACATGGCTTCACAGCGTGTGCTAGGCTGTGTGTGCTACACTGGAAGAGGACAAAGCCCAGGGTCTTGTAGAAGGTTCATGGACGTGAGGCCGCGAAGCCTTTGGTTGTGCCCCTTTGGGGGTACAACAGTTGGCCTGGCATAATTCCTTGGATAAACCAGCAGTTGTTTGGTCACTGAGACAGTTGTTTGAACAAAAAAAGGAGATCATGTGTTTGACCTGGAGTTCATTTGTTTGGTCACATGTGTCGTCAAACTGATCCGGAGGCGAGTATCTCTCCACGAGAGGTGAAGGCGACCGACAGCGACCGGTTGGGTGGTGGGCCCCCCTGGTGGGCTGTGGTTGTGGATGATTCTCATGTGTTCAGTTGTTCAAAAACAAAAACCAAATCGTTTTGGAGAAGCAGCTCCTGGAACATGTGGTTTCAATGTGGGTGCATACGCTGCGCGCAGCTTAGGAACCCCCAAACTAGGCGGTGTTCGGCACTTAGTCGATAGTAAACGATGATGGTTTCTCAGTTGTTGTGCTATCAGATGTTTCACCCAAGACATGTGAGGGATTGTGAAGATGACCTTTGCACAAAAAGGTCGAATCAAGGAACCAAGAGGTGAAGGTCATTGTTCGCATGACTATCCCATGCGTGTAAGTTCCAACAGTTTTCATTTGGCCCAGGTCGTGGTTGTGGTAGCACTCTAACGATCCTGTACTTTCACTACAAGGGAGTCAAGGTTAGTTCGGCTGAACACGAGGATTGAGTCCGGCTGGTGGATCACGACCGTAGAGGGCGTGTTTGCTTCGTGGATTCAATGTTTACGTCACGTCTACACACTGCACACCCGTGGTGAAAAGAAGGCGTTGCGCAAGCACAGATAGAACCAGTCCAAAACAAGAGGGTCCCTATCCTGGGTCTGCAAGTGAGTACCACCGAGTCATACGTTCCCAGCGTTCCAGTTGGGGATTTGGTCGTTGGTTCGCTGCGGGGGGACGTTGAACATTCCTGTAGCCTGTAGGTGAAGATTATGTCGTGAAGGTACCTGCCAAGCTGAAGACTATGTCGTGAGTCAATCGACCGGTGGGAATGGTGTGCAGAGGTGTGCAACACAGTTTTTCTTTTTAATTCATGCTATTTCATGCTATTTCTGTGATACCTTTCTTTGTTTCAAAGGAGAAGGAGATTCCAGACACAATTAAGAGGTTGATGTGGTAGCAAGCTTATAAGGGCCCGAAAACCTGCCAATTGTTTACATTTTAAGAGTGTGTCCCATTACTTGTAACCCTCGATAAATGATTATCACGATTGTTATACTATTTTAGAGAAAGACCTTTGCCATTATCATCCACTGTTGCAGGGAATGGGATACCTAGACCCTGCAAAAGACATTATTTGTTTTCTGGTGGGTGCAATTTGCAGGCAAAGCTCCAAAAAACAACAACAAACAATTTTGGTGCGAAATTGTATAACTTCAGCGCTGGTTTTGTCACTTCTGCGTCATTTTGGTGTCATGTTTGGCGTTCATGAACGTTATTTGTTTCTGCGTCATGTTTCCCGGCGCACCATCCATGAGTTACTCAGGCACATGAGCACCTTGCTCCTGACCAGAGGGGACCTACCACCCGGGAGGAAAGAGTCGCGACTCAGTCGGGGTGTCCAACACGGCCACGTGTGACTAGTAGTTTCTTGCTACTAGTAGCGATGCCAGGAGCCCCTAGTAGCTTCCTTGTTCCGTTCGTAGCGGGCATGAGCACCTTGGCTTTCAGGTCCAGACCTTGGTCAAGCTCGAAGACCCTTGGTTTGCCGGTGTCCGCCCTGGTTCCGACCCACGAACCTGGTTCAGACACGTCGGGTTGTGGAAATCGTCTCTTCAAGAGCATCGCTACGTTCGTAGCATCTACTAGTAATGCACTTGTCACCAGTTAACGACGCACTTGTGACTAGTAGCTAGAAGTTCCACGTGTAGCTCAGACACTTCAGGATCCGGAACCGCCCGGCCAGGCGCTCTTGACCTCCCTCGGAGTGGCTCCCACGCCGGAACTCGAGACAGCCGATGATCCGGGGCGGAGAATCTCAACATCCCACATGAAATGCAATCCCTATTAGATCCTATTAGCTAGCGGAAGGTTCAGGATATTTTTAGTTCCATCCTTGAAACATTGGGATGAACCCACTGACTTATATGTTTACGTTCGTTTCGTTGAACGCATCAACCCGCTTACAGCGGGACGGGAGACCGATCCACCGGTCGTTGTCGTCCCGGTGCACTGGGACGGCGCCGAGTCGAAGACATCACCCGCGGGAACAGGTAGCTTGAAGTAATATGTAATATGCATGACAATGAGCATCTATGATCCATTTTTCAAAGGAAAAGGCAGACAAAGGAACAACACTTGATCCCTGTTGATCCTGGTTTCTCTCATGATCGCCAGGAACTTTCGACCACAAAGTTGTTTTGTTGCAATTCTTCCTTAAAAGGCTTGTAGAAACCATTTGCTGACCGACACGATCGTGGCCCTGCCCTTTTCTCCTCCTTCCTCGTCTCAAGGCCCTCAGAGGTAGATTTGGTGCTGCATGCGATTGTGGAGCGCCCGGGGGATGACCCGGCCATGGTGGTTTTCGGGCTCAAGGAGGTGTCTCCAGAGGTGTCTTCTATTTGCTTCAAGCATGGTTTTAGGGGACGAGAGTGGGGACAAGATGGAGGAACCATGTGCCATTGGATTCCCCACTTTACGTGCTCCTCCGCGTCATCGGCTCGAGCTGGATTTCACAAACGGACACTGCAAGTTTGTTTGGCTTGGCTGAAAGTGAACCTTTGGTTGTTTTACTTGACCAGGTATGGGCACATCATTATGGACTTGGACAGGGTTCAATATGGTTGAATGGCCTCCTGACCTTTCTTGATAGCTCACCGAAAGACGCTAGCCAAGAAGATCAATGAAGCTATTTGTGAGGGTGAAACATATATCTCTTTCAACACACTTATTGACTTTGAGGGATGCTTGTTCGATGAGTCTTGAGTAATTGCTATCACAAGGTTGCTTCATGGAAGTCTGGTACTTGCTGGTACAGACCCAATATCGCCATCCTGTAAGAAAGGTAAGAACAAAGGCAAAGGACGTGTAGCAGTGCTCTTGTGTGTTTGTCTTTTTTGTGCCTCTTTTATTTGTTTGATGTCAGGCGCCAAAAACACACATACGACTGCAGGAGCAGGCGGCAGACGACAGCTGTCAGTTCGATGTGGATGCACCTCGGTCGAGTCGAAGGGCCGGGCGACCGGGAGAGATCGTCGATCGATTGGGTGCTGTGTGGTTCTCATCGAAGAGGATCGAGTTCTGATGTAGAAAAATGTAGCCGGGAGTCTCAATAACACTCGTTTCTGGGGACAAAATGGGGTACTAAGCTATATATTTTCTTAAACAGTGGTCATGTCACATGTTTATCGTTTTTTCTACCGCACTTGAAGTCGCGTCCAGGTAGATTCATTGCTTCGCATCGAATTTTCAGATCTGGTCGTCCAGATCTGCCATGGTTTTCCTTGATCTACCATCATCTAGTTAGACGTGGTCCAATGAAGTGGTTGTGTTTTTGTTTTAAAGAAGCTTGCCATCAACTTCAAGCACTTTGCACAGCAGCCAATTGGCAGCGGCCTTGGGATAGGACCTGATAGAACCCACCTGGATCTTCCAACGGTGCCTTTTTTCTATTGCCTTTTCATCTATAATACCCAGCCAAGCTCGGCAGAGATGTTGCAGGTACATAGCATGACTCCTTCTTTTGACTGAAAAAGCGTCCAGTCAGGCTTAGCCACTTGCTTTTTAGACTTGAAACTCCACGTGCCGATCTCCCATCCTTCTTGACCGATCCTCCCAAGCTCGGTCAGCACCGTATACACACCGTCCCCCCAAACAGAACGCCTTCCGGCAGCGGCAGGGAGCGGATGGCGTAGTGGAGGGCAACACTTGCCTGGTCTTTGGTGGCCTCCGTAGTCTTAGTCGATGTTTTTGTTTGTGATAAAGAGGCATGAAGGGATATCAGAAAGGGAGGTGGTGAGAATGGTTCTTTGTGGTCCTGAGGGGCAAAGATTTGTAAAGACCATCCTCTTTTGATGTCCTCAGCAAGATCGGTTTGGCTTGTCTCAACTGCGACTAGGGGGACCATTTGGCCAGAAGCCCACAGACCATGCAGACATAATAGTGACATCTACAGACCAGCGCCGATGCCCAGCGCCGAACGAACACGCATCCATCCACGTGGCCCGAGGCCGCCATTCTCTTGGCGGGTCGCCGGTGTCACCTCCGGCCACACGGCCACCACCCGAACCGTCGAAGCCGGCGGGAACGGCGTGCCTGCGGTCTGCGGTCAGCTCCAAGGACGCGGGCGAAATGAGCCTGCTGCCACCCACACCGAAAGGCGGTCATTGTTTGCTGCCAGGGGCCCTTGGACTGGTCCCGGCAGGCGATGAATGAGTGCGATAGAGTGCGTCACCGGATGGGCGGCACGGCACGTGGGTGAAATTGCTTGGAATGCTGTTGGAGCCTGTAGAATTGGAATGCTGTTGGGTGTTGATCGAATTTTTAGCACATACTGAAGTCATGCATGGGCTAAGGGTACAAAAGTGTCCGAGACAAGCATAGAATTGATTCGGGGCATACATCGTAATGAGTTTGGAGAGACAAGAAGGCAAGCATTAGTTGCCAAGTAGCTTGTCTCTTCATTACTTCAAAGCCAACTGCCCGATCCCCAGCTGAAAAGCTTCTCACGAGCCACGTGCGAAATGAGGCGGAAAGCACTCTCTGCGCGCACGGTGGCCACGTGGCGAGCGAGTGGTTGGCCATGGGTGGAAGGTAAGGAGGTCCAAGTGCATCGCTACTAGTAGCTTCTTGTTACTAGTAGTGACGCCTCCAACCTAACAGCGATGGCCTCCACCCTAATAGCGGTGGCCTCCAACCTAGTAGCTTCTTGTTACTAGTAGTAAGGTGCCTTGTTACTAGTCCAAAGGAAACACCAAACTGTTGATGGAAAGTTTCGTTTGCACAGGCATGTTCCATGGTCCATGTGGCTTGAGAAAGCTATTCTATATTTTTTCATGTTCGAGCGTCAGGGTTGAAGGAGTCAGGATCATCAGGTCCGCTTCCCCTGAAGTGCTTCAGAAAAGGATTGCTATAGTGACTCCAGCGGCTGACGTGTTGCCAATCCAATTGAAGAACTGACCAACTGACCGCTGGTCCTTGTTTAGGGTTTAGGCGTACGGATGTCGAAGCTGGACATTTGACAGAGGTTTGAAACCTTGAGTTCTGGCACTCCTTGAGTTCTGGTCGCCTGTTTCTATTTGAGGCAAACCGCTAAGACAAACGTCAAGAGGAATATATGGTACACACACTGGTACACACATATCACATCAGATGTCATGTGCCACTATGCCACAGAAACTGCTTTGGTGGTATTGATCTCGCCACAGTGCTTGGTGACATCAGTTCTTTTTTGCCCCCCCAAAAATCTGACCGGTGCTTAGTAGAGAATGGAGTAATGGATCCTTGTAGGTATCTACCACGTGGGGGGTTCATTCCCTCATATTCCCTCGTTCCTGGCTAAGGACCAATCAGGAAAAAGGAATGATTCTCATGTGCCCAGGTTCGGCTTTCACGGAACGGTGCCTTGCTGCTTCTGGATTCTCATTCCCAGACACTCCATGTCGTATACGCCATATCTGCCGCCCCTGGCACCGACCCCCCTGGCACCACCCTGGCCTGACCGGCACCAAAACAGGTCGTGTTAGCTCCGTTCCTTCTCGACGCCGACCGCCTCACCCGTGCACCGCGGCAAGGCCCGTGCCTTGCGGCGCTGCGATGCCGTGGAGGTGGTGGAAGCGACGACGCGTTTGGCTTGCGAAGACGTCGACCGACCGACCGGGTCGCCACTGGGGCTGCGGAACTCCGGTTGGAACATGTTGGAAGCTTTTTTGCAAAGAAAGACATGCCACAGGCATCCAAAGGCTTAAAAAGAAGAACTTATACGACACTTGGACCTGGGTGTAAAAAAAAGGTAAAAAAAAGTCGACTTACCGACAAAAAATAATAGATAAAAACACACATATGACACCTTCTATAGTTTTCTTAGGTCCTTCAATCCCTGGCACTCGAAAGAATCTCGCCGCAGGCCGAGCCTGGCCGCTTCTATGCACTCTTGAGCTTGGGAGAAGCCGAAGGCGTTCGCGTCGGGGCCTGGAGCGAGGGGACGAGGCGACGGGACCCGGATTGACGTGCTGTGACGGCGCAGATGATCAGTACGTGGGCAGATGTTGGTTTGTTTTCTAATGTGTTCCTATATAGAGATTAAAGGGGCGCCGAGATGGAGGATCAGTTAGTTGGTAAGTTGGAAAACTCTTGCACTATATACTATTTGTGAATTGGTTCCAGCAAGGAACCATCTAACAGTGCATGGTATTATGGAATTGAACTCAGGGCCCTTGTGGGATAGTCGAACGACTCGGGTTCTTCAACCTGGACTTGCCTCAGTTGGGTTCTTAACAATCCACTTGGCCCCATGTTTCTCGTCTTCCTTTATCGATCCCGAGGCCTTAATGCATCGGCGGCCCCTGTCGGAGACGCCCAGTGGAGTGGAGGAAGGGGAAAGGAAAGTGGTGTCTCTTTTTCGATGGCTACCTCCTTGAGAATTTATTTGGAGGGGTGGGGTATGTTCGCCAAATAATTGTTTTCAAATAATTTTTTGAAACGTTGATTATTGAGTATGAGATGAGGTGGGTCTATATTTTTTTCAAATAATATTCTACGAACAGTTAGGTATACCCTAGACTAATTTACCAAGAACACCTAGGTTACCCCCAAATAATTTGCTGAAAATCTACATTTTGGATAACAGATGGAGGTTACAAAAAAGTTGTAAAATCGGTTCAGAACTCAAATAGATATTTATATTTTTTATTGAAATCAAACATAAGAGATATTGAGTATGTTCATTTCCTGCAACATGCTTTGCAGGGTCTGCGTGGGGCACAAGATGAAACATTAGAAAAACCAGCTGAAACATTTGTTGAAACACCAAAGCACTACAATCAATTTTAGAGGGATCAATCATTGCATGTTTTGATCCTGTTCATTGCGTGGAACATGTTTTGCAGGGTCAGCGTGAGGCACCAAAGGAAAGGTCAGAAAAAACAGCTGAAGTTTCTGTTCAGACACTAAAGGCATTTATTCAAGATTTAGATGGACCAGACATGACATGTTTCACCAATGCTTGGTTGCTGCAACATTTTTGAAAGGGTCCGCATGGCAGCATGATCAACGAGCAGAAGAAAATGATCAAATTTGTCTGGAGTCAGTTGAGTCAATAATAGATAGTGGAAATATTTGGAATTCATCCTTCATTTTGGCAAAGCAGAGGTTGATGTTTCAGTCTGACATTGGTGGACACATTTGTATTGATTTGGCTGAGCGGAAGCAATGGGAGAAGAGGCAAAGGCACCATCTGGATGGCCAGTGAACTGCACTGTCCGGAATTGTAACTTGGACGCATTGCCAGTATTGGCAATAGTAATATTGATTCTCAAGAGTACTGAGTAATGTAGTTTTGGTTTTCTGGCAGCACTGGCAGCTGGCAAAGGTCCTGGGAACATGCAGAAGCCCACCTTCATGGACAAGTACCAAACATGGGTGAGTAGATGCGTGACTTGCCAAAAATAGGGGACAGGGATGGGACAGGAAGAGTGACAGGAAGTTGGTGGATTTTGGAAGTTTCTGTCAGGGTGGAGGGTTGGGGCAGATATAGAGGTGTACTGTGGTGCACTGTTAAAGGCTCAAGATATTAGTGAATCTTGGTGTCAATATCTGTTCACTTTTGATTCCCATGGCGTCTCAGTCTCCAATGTGGCAATCTTTGAGAATCTCTTCAAGTTTGAAGCTGGAGATTGATGAGGATGACCAGAAGGTCCAGAAGGTGAATGAAAAGCAATTGGCATTTTCACAGGGCGAGTTTCCAAAATTGAAAAGGAGCTATGCGGTGTTGGATTTCGACAGTGTGGAGAGTGAAGATGAAGATTCTCAACATTTCTCAGACCAGCAAGCACAAGTCCAGGCAGCCAAGCTGAAGCGTGGTCGCACACACCAGGAGTTGAATGCTTCTGAGAAACATGGCACAGCTGGTCCTCCAACACAGCAGCCTTGCTCAGATTCCTGCTTGACATCATTTGAATGCCAGAGTCCAGATCTTCGTGATGGCCAATTTGACTTCGAAGATGCCAGTGAATCAAACGCTACAGGAGACATGGCGGTTGATACCGAGGCGGCAATTGAGTCTTCACAGCATGAGGTGAAGCAGGGTGATGGAGATGCTGCTGCCGGGCCACTTCTGGAAGTCTCAAGATGCACGTGTCCAATATGCCTGTCTCTACATGCAATGTTTCCTTCGTCATCTTCGCACGGTTCTGAGAGTTCTGAGTCTGATTGGGAGATTTTGGAATCTTCCCAAGAGTCTTTCAATGAGCCTGTTGAGGATGCTCCCAATGCCATTACCGCTGAGGGCAGTCTTGCACTCAATGAGGCACACCATGGCGCCCCAACCCATGCGATGTGATGTAGCTTTGAGGGAGGCAACGAAGAGATGAATGATATAATTCATTAGATTTTGACCCAGACAGGGCAAAATTCTCAAGATTACAGTAGTGAGCAGGGGGTTGCGAAAAACAAGGCTTGCCAAACTTGTTTTTAGGGAGAAGTTTCAGGACCACACATGGATGTCTGGAATTTTGTATTGCGAAATGCTTTGGAGGACTATGGAGGACTTCATAGGACTTCCCTCACATTCCCTCGCAATTCTAATAAATATTGCAAAGTTGTGCCAGGGGAAAACTTGTGAAACCAAGGACTCGGAGACACTGACATCCAAGGGGACCCGCAGATTGTCTCATCACGTGACCGTATTGCATCTGGGTTTGCAATTGGCAGCCAGTGGTGTTTTCAATGATGCAACTGTGCCCAGACCTTTTCAGATTGAGCCCGTTCCGCCATATCCTGCCTAAGTTTGGATGACGCTTGGGTGAGTTCAACCTGCCTTTCTCAACTTTGCAAAGACCGCCTTGTCACTGTGGCTTGGCTTCCAGATGCGGGTTGGCCAGGGAAATCAATGGAAATCATTCCAAGCTGCTTGCTTTTTTTGGGGTGAACCTTAGGAATACTTTTATTTGTTAGGCATCTATGAAGTCAAACACCGCTCAAATAATATGGATGTTTCAGAAGCTGTCAGAGATAGTGATAGGTTTTAAGCATATGATAAGTATTTGGTGGGTCTATAGAGTCCCACCTACCCCTTGCCCTTTGTACCTTCAACCAGTCACGCAAAACATCTTTGCCCAAATAGTTTAGTCATAGTTGAGATGACAATTATTTCAAGGGTGTCCAGGGTGTTGAACACCCACCATTGCTGCTTCCAGGAGCCTGCGTCTGAACAGGCAGCTTTGCCACAATCTGAAGCATCTTGCCACAAATGTGCAGGGGTCAGAAAAAGCATGAAAAAGCTATGGCAAGTTTAGCGGGTATACTTGGATGCTGTTTGTAGATTGCTTGACAGTAGACATGACAAACTTGTAGCATCTTGTAGCAGCTGAGGAGAAGGCTGAATCTTCAGCGCCAAAGAAAGCCAAGAGTGCACTTTTGGCTGCTTGCATCAAATCAAGATTTGATCAAAGGCATTTGATAGATGAAGCATGCTGAAGCTGAAGGCATAATAGGAGCACATAGGAACATATAGGAACCATATCCGAATGAGGGCAGGTAGACAACATAAATTATTTGGGGGGTCCCTAGGTAGTCACAGGCCTCTGTGATTTCTGGACTAGCTCAGGCTTCTTCGACTACTGCCGCTCCAGAAGAAAAGGAGTCCAAGAGCCAACCTTCAGCATCTTGGATGACTTGAACATCCAGAGAACAACATGTTGCAGAAGATTGTCGATAGATGTCAATAGTATCAAAAAGAATCAACACAGAAATCAAATAGTTTCAAAAGGTTTCAAACAGGTTTATAGATGTTTATAGACTATCAAAAGAACATAAAAGAACAATAGAAGGAAAGGCAGGCCATGACAGGAGCCAGATCTGAATGAGGTGAGATAGAGAAAAAATATTTGGGAGGTATTCAGGTACTTACAGGACTCTCTTTTTTTTTGTGTTGGCTGAGGCCGCTGCTGTCAATACCGCCCCTGCAGATCCAAAGAGGGCCAGTTGTGAACCTTCAGCACCTTGGATGAAGCCAGAATACGCCAGAGAACAATATCTAGAAGACATAGAAAAAGAAACAACAGGAATCAACAGGATATTGATATATAGAAAGAGAGTGAAGGAAGAGAGGTGAGTAGAGATGAGTAGAGTATCAAAAGACTGTAGGACCCGATACGAACCAGATTTGAATGAGAGGAGATAGAGAAGAACAATTGTTTGGGAGGTATTTAGGTACTTACAGAATTCTTTTTTTTTGGACTGGCTGAGGCCGCTGCTCTGACTGCAGCTGCTCCGGAAGCAAAGAGGGCCAAATGCGAACCTTCAGCATCTTGGATGAAGCATGATGAAGGCATAACAAGCCAAAGAACAATTTGTTTCAGAAGAGTTTCAATAGAACATAATAGAACCAAAAAGAAAACACAGAGGTTCACAGACTACCAAAAGAACATAAAAGAACAAT